TAGTTGAAGTTGTTGTAATTCTTGTACTTTTATTGGGATTGCAGACAAAATGGACAGACAGTGGATACATAATCATAATAGATGTGATGTTGAGTACTTGGATGGAATAGATGAGTTCGTTGAATTCACAACTACACACAACCTAGGTTCAACTCATATCCGATGTCCGTGTAGGAGGTGTAACAACTCAATGTGGGAGACATTCGAGAATGTTCGATTGCATTTAGTAAGAAATGGGATGATGGAGACCTATACTACTTGGTATCATCATGGAGAACGATTAGACCAAGCTTCGTCTTCATACGTGACACGAGTGGAAACTGTTGAATCTAATGTGGATCCTAATGAACAAGTTATGAATATTCTAAATGACGTTTATCCATACGCCTCGAGCAACACCAATCAGGAAGGGGGAGAAGGGGGAGATGACAGTCGTCCAACCATGGACAGTGAGGCATTCAAAAACTACGAAAAACTATTGAAAAATGCCAAGCAAGAATTATATCCAGGTTGCGAGAACTTTTCAGTGCTCACAGCAATTGTGGAGTTGATGCATGGCAAGATCAAGTTTTGTTTGTCAAACAAGTGTTTTGATTACTTTTTGGGAGTTATCAAGAGGATGCTTCCAAAGGAGAATTGTTTACCTGAAGATCATAAAAGTGGCCAAAAAGTGTTGAAGGGTCTCGGATTGGGGTATCAAAAAATTCACTCATGTGTAAATAATTATATTTTGTTCTATAAGGAGAACAAATTGTTGGATAAATGCCCTGTCTGCAATGAGCCGAGGTTTAAAATGACATCACAGAATAGAAAGACCAAGATTCCACAAAAAGTAATGCGTTATCTTCCATTGAAGCCTAGGTTGCAACGATTGTACATGTTGATGCATACCACAACCAACATGAGATGGCATAAAGAAGGACGGTAAATGATGATGTTATGAGGCATCCTGCAGATGGAGACGCATGGAAAGAATTTGATCGGATGTACCCTGATTTTGCAGCTGACCCGCGCAACGTCAGATTGGGACTTGTCGCCGATGGATTTAATCCGTTCGAGGTTTTAAACCAAACCCACAGCACTTGGCCGGTCGTCGTGTTTCCTTATAATCTGCCACCTTGGAAGTGCATGAAAAAAGAATACATGATGTTGACTCTATTAATTACCGAAGATCCAAGAAAGTCCATTGATGTTTATTTGCGACCGTTGGTTGATGAGCTAAAAGATTTATGGGAAAACGGTGTTCGTACATATGATAAATATATTGGGCAGATGTTCACCATGCGAACGGCAGTGATGTGGACAGTAAACGATTTTCCCGCGTATGCAATGGTTTCTGGGTGGATGACTAAGGGTTATTTGGCATGTCCAATATGCAAGGAGAACGTAACATCTTCTTGGCATGCAAGAAAAGTTTGTTATCTTGGTCATCGTAGATGGCTCCCTTGGGACAACGAGTGGCGTCAGAATGATAAAGCCTTCCATGGCACAAAAGAGACTTGGCCAAGACCAAGAGAATGGTCCGGAGATAAGATTTTGGATCAGTTAAACCGTTTGGAATTTGGTCATTTCGGCAAAGGGGTCAGTAACCCCAGACTACACATCTGAACTGGACGCACAAGAGTATGCTATTTGAGCTTCCGTACTGGTCAAAGTTAAAATTGAGACACAACCTCGATGTTATGCATATTGAGAAAAATGTGTTTGACACTTTGGTCGGGACAATTCTAGACATTGAAAGAAAAACAAAAGACACGATCGAAGCTCGCCTCGATTTGGAACGAATGGGCATTAGGTCATCCTTGTGGATGAAGAATGTCGGTGGTACATTGAAGAAAGGCCATCCCTTTTTTACAGTTAAGCCGAATGGTAAGAAAGAGTTTTTCAACTTTATTTCTTCTGTAAAGTTTCCAAATGGGTATGCTTCCAATATATCGCGTTGCGTGAACGTGAAGGGGTGTAAATTTTTAAACATGAAGAGTCATGACTGTCATGTGATACTCCAACGCCTTCTTCCGGTTGGTATTCGACACTTATTGCCTCTTGATGTGGTGAAACCAATCGTGTTGTTGTCGAGATTTTTTTCGCAGTTGACTGCAAAGTGTTTGCGGAAGTCGGATGTTAAACAATTGCAGGACGACATTGTGAACGTCTTATGCAAGTTCGAACAAATATTTCCCCCAGCTTTCTTTACAAGTATGATTCACGTGATGATTCACTTGCCAGATGAGGCATTGCTTGCCGGACCAATGAACTGTCGATGGATGTATCCAATAGAAAGGTACTTGATTAAGCGTATATATATATATATAACATATTCATGATCAACGAATGCTTTGAATAATTTGTAGCATACCTTTTATTTGTGCAGATATCTTGGTGAGTTGAAAAGGTGTGTTCGAAACAGGGCAAAGCCCGAAGGATCACTTGTGGAGGCATGGTTCGCATATGAGTCACTTACGTTTTGTGCAATGTATCTTCAAGATGTTGAGACAACTTTCAATCGTCCTGAACGCAATAATGACGGTGGTGTCAGAAAAGAGAAACTGTCTGTTTTTGCCCAAATTGCACGACCATTCGGCGATCCTGTAAAAGGCGAACCGTTTACCAAAAAGGACATGGAGGTAGCGCATTGGTTCATACTCAACAATTGTGATGAGGCTTTGCCATACCTTCAAGAGCATGAACAGTTGATGAAGCAGGAACATCCTTCACATTCATATGCCAAGAAGCACCATGACTTGTTTCCTTCATGGTTTCACGCACATGTAAGTTGTATGTGGTTTGAATTGAGCATATTTTCCAAATTGTTCATGCCCGTCTTTAAATTTGGTTACACTAACAGGTTAACTTTTTGTATATGTTATATTAGATGAACAAATTGAAGGAATTGAATTCACCATCTTACAATGAAGAATTATATAACTTGGCGAGAGGACCGATTCACACTAAATTGTTCTCAGGTTGTCATGTCAACGGGATCAAGTTCTTGGGGGCAACACATGATGACAAGTTGTCTACTCAAAATAGTGGTGTCCATGTGCTGGGTGCGGGCGATAGTGAAGACATTGATTTTTATGGCAAACTAACTAGTGTAGTACAATTGCTTTACAAAGACAGGTGTCAAGTGATATTGTTTAAGTGTCTTTGGTTTGATACAAACCCACATAACCGAACGAGTGTTAAGCAAGACCATGGTTTACTATCAATAAACACTACGAGACATTGGTACGATGAAGACCCATACATTTTGGCAACCATGGTGAAACAAATATTCTATCTAGACGACCCTAAAGCCGGCAATGGTTGGAAAGTTGTTCAGAAGATTGATCGAAGAGGGTTATATGATATTCCGGAACTAGATCATGATGACAACGTCGCTGACCAACAGTTATCATCTTCGATAGAAATTAGTGAAGAAACACTTCGGGATACTAATATTGTTCAAGAACCGTTTGACGTACCTGGAGTTCCCGAATTCAAAATATCAATTGACCTTGGTGATCTGCCTCAATACAATGCACCGGAACAGGCAAACGAAGATGAGGACGAATGGGAATCCGGAAATAATAGTAGTGAGGATAGCGAGAGTTATTATTGTAGTTCGGATGAGGATTAATATAAACTTGGAAAGAAAAAAGCAGGAGGGTGAGGAGAGGCAAAGTCAAACTAAAAAAGGCACGGGATGAGTTCAAAACAATGCTGGAAGTACGTTGTTATCTTCTTCCCTCAAATTATTCATGTCTACATAGAAATTATATGCTTTGTCTCATTTTCTTGTTCATGGCTTAAATTCCTTGTACGTTGTTATCTGCCACCGACGGCAAAGGCAGTTGGTCGTTTCACTGATGAAAACTTGTTCCAAACTGAGTAAAGTATTTTTGACTCCTATGGTGTATGAACTGTATAAAACAGGAATGGGAGAAACTACTTTTGAAAAGGTGAAGTATTATATAAGTAAACACCATTTTGTTTCCTTCCCAAGTATAAAAACAAACGTTTCCTTCCCAAGTATGCTTAGACAATTGAATGATACCATAAGCTCATTAGTTACTACTTACCGTTCACATCTTGTTAGTTAACTGTTATGTGGTTTGGAATGTTGTCTTCTGTAATACTGCTTTATGAAACTGCATTTTATATTGGCGAATGTGGATTTTGCAGATGTAAAGGCAGTCATGAAAAACTCAGGAACTGTAATGCTCGGAGTAGGTGTTTCCTCAATTCAATCAGCTACTTCCATTCAATCAGCTGATTGGATCTTCAATTCAATCAGCTACTGGCGTTGTGTATAATATCACAGGTGGAGGTCGTAAATTATTGCTAGTGGTTGGTGCTGCTAGCCCCTTTTTCTTTGCTCCTTTCCTTGGCCTAATGAAGTATGCAAACTATTGTAAATGTTCAGGTCCTTCTGTTAACATAACATTTGGGGCTATTGTGGATGATTGCTACAACGGAGAGCTTCATGTGACTATTATTGTAACAGGCTTTTCGCAGTCATTTCAGAAGACACTACTAATTAACAGACCCCAAGGCAGCAAAGCTGCTTGACAAGGTTGAAGGGGGCCAAGAACGTAGAGCCACCACCATTTCATCATAACCGTCGCCGACAAAGCTTTTATTTTAATTTTGCAGATGTATTTTTTCTCAGTCTCTTGTGCATTTTGCCTTGTAATGATACTGAAGTTCCAATCTATGAGATTTCATGTCACTATTTTCAGTCAATTCCTTTTATCTATTTCACCTCCCACCTTTTACTTTCACTGCGTTTTATAACAAAATTTCAAGAAGCACGAACTTGAGATTGGCTAAATCAGTGGTCTCTCAAATATACGTACACACATTACATGTTTAAACCATTTTTCACTTTCGATCTTAAATTTCCTATCATATCCTTTCAACGATTCATCTCTTTCTCTGATCTGAGTTTCAAAAATGGCAGCATAAAGAATGTCATACAATGATAGCCAGAAGTATGTTTAACATTATGAAGGACTATCTTACTATAACCATGTTTGATTTTTATCAAAAGTTTGATGAGCTTCTATCACAAACGGTGATCATATGAAATACAAACTTCAAGAACTCATAACTTGGGAATAAACCCCGTCACATGCTACATTGACCAATAGAAACCGGAAATGAAAGAAGAGCATACAACAGTGTTCAATTCCTATATTTGTTCCAATAGCAGTTTGGTGTATGCATTAAAACAAGTCAACTGTGATTACTTAAAAGAAGAGAATTAAGATTGAAGCAGTTGTTGTTCCATCCTTCTTCAAAGGAAACTTGAACTCAAATCTCTAAATTCAGGAAACTTGTTAGACTGTTGGCAACCATGGTAATGATTTCCTTGATTTTGAGAGGATCATTTCTGTGTTTATGGCTAAGTATTGCAAACATTTCCGCTTCTTGTCTGGAATGTCCATCTTGAAGCCCTTTCAAGTTAGCATATTCTTCCAAGAGCCTGATCATGGTTGTAACAATTTGCACCAGCAAGAGCACGATTTGATCAAACTGAGATAGAAATCAGCATGTACGCTTGATTTCTATCTCAACTTTGTAATCCTGAGTTTTGGACAGTTGAAGATCTGAATTTTTACCTTTTTTCTTAAGCTTATTTCCAAAGCTTCTTTTCCTGCTAAATGCCATCTCCTATAATAGGAAAGCAAACTAATAATTACCAAGATGCACCAAAAAGACTCCATCGTTAATCAGAGCAGTAACAACATAGCAATATGCAATTCATTGTCTAAAACTAAGGATTAGGTGGAAGCAAAACGGTTGATTCATAAGTAAGAATATCTTGTTTCAAATGGTATGTTTTTATACTTACCACAGGCAGATCAAGTTCTCCTGCTCTACGAACTGCAGCAACCAGGTCACGGTTAGATTCTGTATACATGCTAGTCACAAGTCCATATTGACCAGCTCTGGCTGTACGACCAACCCTGTGTATAAAGTCCACAGCATAAGCTAGCAGGAACCGTAGCTGAGTCCTCTTTGTCAAACTGAACAAACCCAAAACCCTTTCTCTTCCCATTTTCGTCTACTACATTGAAAGAGAGGAGAACGCAGGGCCTCTCCAATACCATTTGTCCTTCCCATTTGTAAAATTTGAACCAATTCAAGTAAATATTCAATCACAGCAACAGATGCTCAGATAAAATCGATGCAAATTCAAAACTTGAAACAAAGTAAGAAGTAATTAAACAACATGCACATACCTAAACGATCCCACATAACCCATAATTCGCCAAAAAAATTGCTGATTGACCCTAAATTCTAATCGAAATTGTCAAAACGAAACCAAGAAATTTTTTATCTCGATCATAAATATACGGGGGGAAACAAGATTGAAATAGATATGATCCCAATGTAGAGGGTGATGAATTACCTGATTTAGGGATTGCGAATGTGGGCCGTGAAGAAAGGGGAGATCGGAAGGGAGGGCAAAGACTGATCCTTGCAAAAGGGTGAGGTATTTGTATCTGCAATCGGGTAAAAAGGAAAAAAAAGGGAAATAAAATAAAACACTTTGCGCAACGTCACGACGCATGTATATCTACATCGCGCAAAGTGTTTTATTTTATTTCCCTTTTTTTTTTCTTTTGCTTTTCTTTCGGGGTTCTTGTATTGCATTTTTTCTTTTGTGGTATCCACTTGTGTAAATATTTTAAATAGAAGATCGAATTAGTTCATTATATTCATATAAGGCTAAATATTGTAGCTATAAAAAATCATCAAAATTGCAGTTTAAATAACTATTAAATCATGAATTTTCATTTACAACCGTCGAAACGTTTTGTCTCGTAATCTTACCTTTGACAGTTTTTTTTTTTTTTTGAGATTTTCTGCGTATGCCATTTCGAAGCATATACAAGCAAGTTTGACGGTTGGATCGTTGAAACTAGTCTCGTAAAATGCGTATCCCATAAAAACGATATATTCCCTAACACTTAGATTTTTTTATACTTACATCAACTATAACATAAGATTTTGTGGTATCCACTTGTGTAAATGTTTTAAATTGACGATCGAATTAGTTCATTGTATTCATATAGGGTTAAAGAGTGTAGCTGTAAAAAATCATCAAAATCGGAGTTAAAATAACCGTTAACTAGTGAATTTTCGTTTACAACCGTCGAAACGTTTTGTCCCGTAACTTTACCTTTGAACATTTTTTTTTTTTGAGATTTTTTGCGTATGCGATCTCGAAGCATATACAAACAAGTTTGACGGTTGGATCGTTGAAACTAGTCTCGTAGAATGCGTATCCCATTAAAACGATATATTCCCTAACACTTAGTTTTTATTTATACTTGCATCAACTATAACATAAGATTTTATGGTATCCACTTGTGTAAATGTTTTAAATTGACGATCGAATTAGTTCATTGTATTCATATAGGGCTAAATAGTGTAGTTGTAAAAAATCATCAAAATCAGAGTTAAAATAACCGTTAAATCGTGAATTTTCGTTTACAACCATCGAAATGTTTTGTCCCGTAACCTTACCTTTGAACGTTTTTTTTTTTTTTTAGATTTTTTGCGTATGCGATCTCGAATCATATACAAACAAGTTTGACGGTTGGATCGTTGAAACTAGTCTAGTAGAATGCGTATCCCATTAAAACGATATATTCCCTAACACTTAGATTTTATTTATACTTGCATCAACTATAACATAAGATTTTATGGTATCCACTTGTGTAAATGTTTTAAATTGACGTTCGAATTAGTTCATTGTATTCATATAGGGTTAAAGAGTGTAGCTGTAAAAAATCATCAAAATCGGAGTTAAAATAACCGTTAAATCAGGAATTTTCATTTACAACCGTCGAAACATTTTGTCCCGTAAAATTACCTTTGAACGTTTTTTTTTTTTTTAGATTTTTTGCGTATGCGATCTCGAAGCATATAAAAACAAGTTTGACGGTTGGATCGTTGAAACTAGTCTCGTAAAATGCGTATCCCATTAAAACGATATATTCCCTAACACTTAGATTTTATTTATACTTACATCAACTATAACATAAGATTTTGTGGTATCCACTTGTGTAAATGTTTTAAATTGATGATCGAATTAGTTCATTGTATTCATATAGGGTTAAAGAGTGTAGCTGTAAAAAATCATCAAAATCGTTCATTGTATTCATATAGGGTTAAAGAGTGTAGCTGTAACAAATCATCAAAATCAGAGTTAAAATAACCGTTAAATAGTGAATTTTCGTTTACAACCGTCGAAACGTTTTGTCCTGTAACTTTACCTTTGAACGTTTTTTTTTTGTTGAGATTTTTCGCTTATGCGATCTCGAAGCATATACAAACAAGTTTGACGGTTGGATCGTTGAAACTAGTCTCGTAGAATAAGTATCCCATTAAAACGATATATTCCCTAACACTTGGTTTTTATTTATACTTGCATCAACTATAACATAAGATTTTATGGTATCCACTTGTGTAAATGTTTTAAATTGACGATCGAATTAGTTCATTGTATTCATATAGGGCTAAATAGTGTAGCTGTAAAAAATCATCAAAATCAGAGTTAAAATAACCGTTAAATCGTGAATTTTCGTTTACAACCGTCGAAATGTTTTGTCCCGTAACCTTACCTTTGAACGTTTTATTTTTTTTTTGAGATTTTTTGCATATGCGATCTCGAAGCATATACAAACAAGTTTGACGGTTGGATCGTTGAAACTAGTCTGGTAGAATGCATAACCCATTAAAACGATATATTCACTAACATTTAGATTTTATTTATACTTGCATCAACTATAACATAAGATTTTATGGTATCCACCTGTGTAAATGTTTTAAATTGACGATCGAATTAGTTCATTGTATTCATATAGGGTTAAAGAGTGTAGCTATAAAAAATCATCAAAATCGGAGTTAAAATAGCCGTTAAACCATGAATTTTCATTTACAACCGTCGAAACGTTTTGTCCCGTAACTTTACCTTTGAACGTTTTTTTTTTTTTGAGATTTTTTGCGTATGCGATCTCGAAGCATATACAAACAAGTTTGACGGTTGGATCGTTGAAACTAGTCTCGTAAAATGCGTATCCCATTAAAACGATATATTCCCTAACACTTAGATTTTATTTATACTTACATCAACTATAACATAAGATTTTGTAGTATCCACATGTGTAAATGTTTTAAATTGACGATCGAATTAGTTCATTGTATTCATATAGGGTTAAAGAGTGTAGCTGTAAAAAATCATCAAAATCGGAGTTAAAATAACCGTTAAATAGTGAATTTTCGTGTACAACCGTCGAAACGGGTTTTGTCCTATAACTTTACCTTTGAACGTTTTTTTTTTTTTTGAGATTTTTTGCTTATGCGATCTCGAAGCATATACAAACAAGTTTGACGGTTGGATCGTTGAAACTAGTCTCGTAGAATAAGTATCCCATTAAAACGATATATTCCCTAACACTTAGTTTTTATTTATACTTGCATCAACTATAACATAAGATTTTATGGTATCCACTTGTGTAAATGTTTTAAATTGACGATCGAATTAGTTCATTGTATTCATATAGGGTTAAAGAGTGTAGCTGTAAAAAATCATCAAAATCAGAGTTAAAATAACCGTTAAATCGTGAATTTTCGTTTACGACCGTCGAAACGTTTTGTCCCGTAACTTTACCTTTGAACGTTATTGTTTTTGTTGAGATTTTTTGCTTATGCGATCTCGAAACATATACAAACAAGTTTGACGGTTGGATCGTTGAAACTAGTCTCGTAGAATAAGTATCCCATTAAAACAATATATTCCCTAACACTTAGTTTTTATTTATACTTGCATCAACTATAAAATAAGATTTTATGGTATCCACTTGTGTAAATGTTTTTAATTGACGATCGAATTAGTTTATTGTATTCATATAGGGCTAAATAGTGTAGCCGTAAAAAATCATCAAAATCAGAGTTAAAATAAACGTTAAATCATGAATTTTCGTTTACAACCGTCGAAATGTTTTGTCCCGTAACCTTACCTTTCAACGTTTTTTTTTTTTTGAGATTTTTTGCGTATGCGATCTCGAAGCATATACAAACAAGTTTGATGGTTGGATCGTTGAAACTAGTCTGGTAGAATGCGTATCCCATTAAAACGATATATTCCCTAACACTTAGATTTTATTTATACTTGCATCAACTATAACATAAGATTTTATGGTATCCACTTGTGTAAATGTTTTAAATTGACGATCGAATTAGTTTATTGTATTCATATAGGGTTAAAGAGTGTAGCTATAAAAAATCATCAAAATCGAAGTTAAAATAACCGTTAAATCGTGAATTTTCGTTTACAACCGTCGAAACGTTTTGTCCCGTAACTTTACCTTTGAACGTTTTTTTTTTTTGAGATATTTTTCGTATGCTATCTCGAAGCATATACAAAAAAGTTTGACGGTTGGATCGTTGAAACTAGTCTTGTAAAATGCGTATCCCATTAAAACGATATATTCCCTAACACTTAGATTTTATTTATACTTACATCAACTATAATATAAAATTTTGTGGTATCCACTTGTGTAAATGCTTTAAATTGACGATCAAATTAGTTCATTGTATTCATATAGGGTTAAAGAGTGTAGCTGTAAAAAATCATCAAAATCAGAGTTAAAATAACCGTTAAATAGTGAATTTTTGTTTACAACCGTCGAAACATTTTGTCCTCTAACTTTACCTTTGAACGTTTTTTTTTTTTTTTTTGAGATTTTTTGTGTATGCGATCTCGAAGCATATACAAACAAATTTGACGGTTGGATCGTTGAAACTAGTCTGGAAGAATGCGTATCCCATTAAAACGATATATTCCCTAACACTTAGATTTTATTTATACTTGCATCAACTATAGCATAAGATTTTATGGTATCCACTTGTGTAAATGTTTTAAATTGACGATTGAATTAGTTCATTGTATTCATATAGGGTTAAAGAGTGTAGCTATAAAAAATCATTAAAATCGGAGTTAAAATAACCGTTAAATCGTGAATTTTCGTTTACAACCGTCGAAACGTTTTGTCCCGTAACTTTACCTTTGAACTTTTTTTTTTTGAGATTTTTTGCGTATGCGATCTCGAAGCATATACAAACAAGTTTGACGGTTGGATCGTTGAAACTAGTCTCGTAAAATGCGTATCCCATTAAAACGATATATTCCCTAACACTTAGATTTTATTTATACTTACATCAACTATAACATAAGATTTTGTGGTATCCACTTTTGTAAATGTTTTAAATTGACGATCGAATTAGTTCATTGTATTCATATAGGGTTAAAGAGTGTAGCTGTAAAAAATCATCAAAATCGAAGTTAAAATAACCGTTAAATAGTGAATTTTCTTTTACAACCGTCTAAACGTTTTGTCCCGTAACTTTACCTTTTGAACTTGTTTTTTGTTGAGATTTTTTGGGTATGCGATCTCGATGCATATACAAACAAGTTTGACGGTTGGATTGTTGAAACTAGTCTCGTAGAATGTGTATTACATTAAAACGATATATTCCCTAACACTTAGTTTTTATTTATACTTGCATCAACTATAACATAAGATTTTATGGTATCCACTTGTGTAAATGTTTTAAATTGACGATCGAATTAGTTCATTGTATTCATATAGGGTTAAAGAGTGTAGCTATAAAAAATCATCAAAATCGGAGTTAAAATAACTGTTAAATCATGAATTTTCGTTTACAACCGTCGAAACGTTTTGTCCCGTAACTTTACCTTTGAACGTTTTTTTTTTTTGAGATATTTTTCGTATGCTATCTCGAAGCATATACAAACAAGTTTGACGGTTGGATCGTTGACACTAGTCTTGTAAAATGCGTATCCCATTAAAACGATATATTCCCTAACACTTAGATTTTATTTATACTTACATCAACTATAATATAAAATTTTGTGGTACCCACTTGTGTAAATGCTTTAAATTGACGATCAAATTAGTTCATTGTATTCATATAGGGTTAAAGAGTGTAGCTGTAAAAAATCATCAAAATCAGAGTTAAAATAACCGTTAAATAGTGAATTTTCGTTTACAACCGTCGAAACATTTTGTCCTCTAACTTTACCTTTGAACGTTTTTTTTTTTTTTTGAGATTTTTTGTGTATGCAATCTCGAAGCATATACAAACAAGTTTGACGGTTGGATCGTTGAAACTAGTCTGGAAGAATGCGTATCCCATTAAAACGATATATTCCCTAACACTTAATTTTATTTATACTTGCATCAACTATAGCATAAGATTTTATGGTATCCACTTGTGTAAATGTTTTAAATTGACGATTGAATTAGTTCATTGTATTCATATAGGGTTAAAGAGTGTAGCTATAAAAAATCATCAAAATCGGAGTTAAAATAACCGTTAAATCGTGAATTTTCGTTTACAACCGTCGAAACGTTTTGTCCCGTAACTTTACCTTTGAACTTTTTTTTTTTGAGATATTTTGCGTATGCGATCTCGAAGCATATACAAACAAGTTTGACGGTTGGATCGTTGAAACTAGTCTCGTAAAATGTGTATCCCATTAAAACGATATATTCCCTAACACTTAGATTTTATTTATACTTACATCAACTATAACATAAGATTTTGTGGTATCCACTTGTGTAAATGCTTTAAATTGATGATCGAATTAGTTCATTGTATTCATATAGGGTTAAAGAGTGTAGCTGTAAAAAATCATCAAAATCGAAGTTAAAATAACCGTTAAATAGTGAATTTTCTTTTACAACCGTCTAAACGTTTTGTCTCGTAACTTTACCTTTTGAACTTTTTTTTTGTTGAGATTTTTTGGGTATGCGATCTCGATGCATATACAAACAAGTTTGACGGTTGGATTGTTGAAACTAGTCTCGTAGAATGTGTATTACATTAAAACGATATATTCCCTAACACTTAGTTTTTATTTATACTTGCATCAACTATAACATAAGATTTTATGGTATCCACTTGTGTAAATGTTTTAAATTGACGATCGACTTAGTTCATTATATTCATATAGGGTTAAAGAGTGTAGCTATAAAAAATCATCAAAATCGGAGTTAAAATAACCGTTAAATCATGAATTTTCGTTTACAACCGTCAAAACGTTTTGTCCCGTAACTTTACCTTTGAACGTTTTTTTTTTTGAGACATTTTTCGTATGCTATCTCGAAGCATATACAAACAAGTTTGACGGTTGGATCGTTGAAACTAGTCTTGTAAAATACGTATCCCATTAAAACGATATATTCCCTAACACTTAGATTTTATTTATACTTACATCAACTATAATATAAAATTTTGTGGTGTCCACTTGTGTAAATGCTTTAAATTGACAATCAAATTAGTTCATTGTATTCATATAGGGTTAAAGAGTGTAGCTGTAAAAATTCATCAAAATCAGAGTTAAAATAACCGTTAAATAGTGAATTTTCGTTTACAACCGTCGAAACATTTTTTCCTCTAACTTTACCTTTGAACGTTTTTTTTTTTGAGATTTTTTGTGTATGCGATCTCGAAGCATATACAAACAAGTTTCACGGTTGGATCATTGAAACTAGTCTGGAAGAATGCGTATCCCATTAAAACGATATATTCCCTAACACTTAGATTTTATTTATACTTGCATCAACTATAGTATAAGATTTTATGGTATCCACTTGTGTAAATGTTTTAAATTGACGATTGAATTAGTTCATTGTATTCATATAGGGTTAAAGAGTGTAGCTATAAAAAATCATCAAAATCGGAGTTAAAATAACCGTTAAATCGTGAATTTTCGTTTTCAACCGTCGAAACGTTTTGTCCGGTAACTTTACCTTTGAACGTTTTTTTTTTGTGAGATTTTTTGCGTATGCGATCTCGAAGCATATACAAACAAGTTTGACGGTTGGATCGTTGAAACTAGTCTCGTAAAATGCGTATCCCTTTAAAACGATATATTCCCTAACACTTAGATTTTATTTATACTTACATCAACTATAACATAAGAGTTTGTGGTATCCACTTGTGTAAATGTTTTAAATTGACGATCGAATTAGTTCATTGTATTCATATAGGGTTAAAGAGTGTAGCTGTAAAAAATCATCAAAATCGAAGTTAAAATAACTGTTAAATAGTGAATTTTCTTTTACAACCGTCTAAACGTTTTGTCCCGTAACTTTACCTTTTGAACTTTTTTTTGTTGAGATTTTTTGGGTATGCGATCTCGAAGCATATACAAACAAGTTTGACGGTTGGATTGTTGAAACTAGTCTCGTAGAATGTGTATTACATTAAAACGATATTTTCCCTAACACTTTGATTTTATTTATACTTGCATCAACTATAACATAAGATTTTATGGTATCCACTTGTGTAAATATTTTAAATTGACGATCGAATTAGTTCATTGTATTCATATAGGGTTAAAGAGTGTAGCTATAAAAAATCATCAAAATCGGAGTTAAAATAACCGTTAAATCATGAATTTTCGTTTACAACCGTCGAAACATTTTGTCATGTAACTTTACCTCTGAACGTTTTTTTTTTGAGATTTTTTGCGTATGCGATCTCGAAGCATATACAAACAAGTTTGACGGTTGGATCGTTGAAACTAGTCTCGTAGAATGCGTATCCCATTAAAACGATATATTTCCTAACACTTAGATTTTATTTAAACTTGCATCAACTATAACATAAGATTTTATGGTATCCACTTGTGTAAATGTTTTAAATTGACGATCGAATTGGTTCATTGTATTCATATAGGGTTAAAGAGTGTAGCTTTAAAAAATCATCCAAATCGGAGTTAAAATAATTGTTAAATAGTGAATTTTCGTTTACAACCGTCAAAACGTTTTGTCCGGTAACTTTACCTTTGAATGTTTTTTTTTGAGATTTTTTGCGTATGCGATCTCGAAGCATATACAAACAAGTTTGACGGTTGGATCGCTGTATTATGTTTTGTACAATGCGTATCGCATCAAGTTTATTGGTATATATATATATATATTTATTTATTTATTATGTAGATTTAAATGTATTAATTTTTTACGTATAACACTTAAGAAATCGAATGAGTTGGAAGTAGCTACCAATTTATTAGTCATGTTTTTGTTATAAAAAAAATATTATTGTGGGTTTTATATAATTGTGAAATTAAGGATTTTATATTATTGTAGGTTGTATAAAAAATTTTAAATAAAATTTACCTTGCGCGACGTCTAATTGTACACCTACGTCGCGCAAGTTGTCATAAATTTGGCGGTACAAGTGAAAAGAATTAACGCTTATTTTGAGTTTTCCAACTTTGGCCAAAATATTCCCAAGCCCTGACTCTCTCACTCAGTCTCTCTTCCCTCTCGCTCATCACGCCCGCTCTCTCCCGTAGCCTTCCTCCTCTTCGCTCATCACGCTCGAACGCCAAATCTTGAACTCCAAAGCGCCCCAATCTCGAACCCCACTGTCGGTTGTCTCTCTCCCTCTCGTTCTATATGACGGGTAGCCACCACCCCCTTCGTCGTGCTCGTCTCTCTCCTTCAAAGTAAGTGTAATTACAAATTATGTAATTGTGAAATTAAGGATTTTGATTGTGAATTGAGATGAATTTTAGAATTTAGGGTTTTAATTTGGGATAAATTACTAGGGCATGGGATGGATTTCAGGGTTTTAAAATTTGTTAATGGGAATTAGGGTTTTAATTTTGAAATGGGGATTGAATCAGGGTTTTTATTTGGGATAAATTATTAGGAAATGTGCTGAATTTCAGGGTTTAAGAATTTCATTGTTGTTGTTTCTTGTTTGCAATTTGAAGCAATTTCATTATAGATTTTCACTTACTAGATTTTTCATGAAACCCTAACTTCCCCTGGTTTTTGAAAGTGGTCAAGGATCCAGCAGTGTAGCACATGTAGCAGAAGTGTGATAATTACCCAGATTGTCTGAACACCTGCATAACAGCCGTAGTTTCCCTCATAAGTTGAGTAACAGGGATAGGTTCCTGTTAGTGTTGAGGTACACTGCAAACGACCAAATTTTAACACTGGTGCTTTCATATGAATGAAGCATATTTGTTATGTTATTTGTGATAGTAATTCTCTTAAAATGGGTGATCTCTTTCCAGGTTAATTCAATCTTGATTGGTGAACTCTGACTCATTCTGCGACCACAACCCTGTACTAGTTATCTAAATCAAACAACAGTTAGTATTTAAGAGATGTCTGTTGGGCCACAATAAGAAACAAACTCAATCTTCTGTTGGATTTCATGGTTTCAAGCTTACTGAATCTGTAAGTATTCTTGTGTTGTTAGCTTTGCTTTGCCTCCATGTTTATGAATCTCTGAGCTACTTTGTTATTGAGCTTTGGTTCAGTTAAGTTGCCCCCTTTGACATTTTAACCTTTTTTTTATTATTGATTCATATACGATTGCTTGTGTTTCATCGTTCAAAGTGTTTATAGTCGAACATCGAATAGGATCTGAACTTGTGGTTGACTCAGTTCGTCTAAATCATAGTGTTTGTGCCTTCTTTGTGAAGGAGTCAGGACCTCTAATCAGTTGGTAGTGACACACCACCATGAGAATAAGGCCTTATTGGATTTACTGATGAGGAATTACAGATGTTGTTTGTATCGTTATTGATCATTGAATTTATGTGTTCATTGTATTGGACCTCTTGAATCCAACTTCTTTGATTGTGCGTTTAATCATTTCATATCAGATATTGTTGCTTACTAAGCTTTGTAGCTCACCCTTTTCATATCAGGTTAATTCAATCTTGATTGCTAAACTAACAATTTGTCATGTAGTAAGCATAACAATCTGACCATAATCTGTTGGAACTGCACTTGATGAAATTACAGTTAACCATCTTAGTAAAAGGTTCCTCTTTTAAATTGCACTTGTAATTACCATACCAAAATCTTACAGTGGAATCTCGATATAAAAAACAGAGATAATGCAATTTGGTTTTGCCTCATTATAAGACCTATTCCTTTGATTTTTTTTCTTTCTACTTCCGTCATAATGTATTTTAAATTCCACGTAAATTTTGTTTTTTTATGGTAGTCAATAGTTACCGATTGATATTCCTAATTGTTTAAACAGTGATACTGGAGAAATTTATGCACAGAAACTTGCTAACTTTGTTTAAAAGCGACTGAAATCAGAACGGGCTGCTTCTGTAAGCTTCAACAATATCTAATGTTTAGTTTTAATTTTGTTGCTTTCCATATTAAGTAAATGATTGTTGTTGGTTGATCCTTGTTTCTCATGTAGTCTACCTATATCTGTTGATCCCAAAAAACAAGTCTACATCTCTCTTTTACTAAAAAGTGTATAGATGTCGCGGTTGATCACTCGTTGTCAGAGTGTGATCGAGGCGGCTCCCTCATTATCAGCATCTACTGCTCCAAGCGTGAGTGCTCCATTGATTGGGGAGCCTACACCCCTTACTGAGGCTACTCCTACGGCATCCCAGGTGCCCGTCTCATCGACATCATCAGTGTCGATTCAGCCGCTCAGTGCACGGCGGCCTCATCGGCGCCGCCGCGAGTCGGAGCCTTCTGATCACACTTCCTTAGCATCCAGAGTTGAGGATGAGGCCTCCCATCCAGGTAGTTTTTTCTAATTCTCGATCACTACGTTGTATTTTTTTTTCCATTTAAAATTATTATTTTTATGATGATGAAAATTTGCTGGATTGTGAAAATGTGTTGCGGGTTGTGAATTACCGTTATTTTACTGTTTTAAGGTTTTCGGAAATGCTATACTATTAGGGGAGGTTGTGTCGAATTTTGTGTACAAATTTAAGCTTATGGTTTTCACCATTTAAATATTTTTGGCTAGCTAAAAAAACACTAGGGGGCCTAGTCGAATGCTAAAGTCGGCTCAGAGCGTACGTATGATCGGCTCCAAGATCAAGATTCAGTATGACTCGCGACATTGTGGAGCGACTACCTCACAGCAGCATAGTGGCGTCGCTAGTGGCTGTGGTGTTGTTATTAAGCAAAATTGTCCTATGCAGTGGGACTCTTGGACAGATATTCCTCAGAGGACGATGGAACTGGTGCTAGACTAGTTGTCGGTTAGTATATTAATTTTTAGCCTTTGTCATTTCTTTAAAGTTGTTGGTTAGTATATTAATTTTAGCCTTTATCATTTTTTTTAGTTTTGTTTACAAATATTAAAAACAAAAATATATTATCTTAATATTATTAAATTTCTTACTATTATTTTATTGTTTTTCATATTCGTAGGTCGTTTTTTATCTTAAGGACATATCCCCCGAGGCCATGGCCTACTTAGAGGAGGGCTTAGCAACCCAGTACAAACATTGGAAGAACTATCTTCACACGCATTTTTAGCGATACGATGATCCGGAGGTTGCTCGCCTACATGGTTGCCCAATCGAGTTGAAGGACCGGCCAGAGGATTGGGAGTGGCTCTGCAAACATTTTACGGACCCAAAATTTGTGGTATGTACGTAATATTTTAATAATAATTTATTATTGTTTTAGTTATTTTTTAAAGCTTTTTTTATTAATTTATTTCAAATAGTTGCACTAACATGTATATTGTGTGTTTAACAGAAGAAATCTCTTGCTGGCAAGAAAGCTCGGGACTCAAAGACACTTCTTCACCATTCTGGTTCGAAGCCCTTTTTGTATAGGCTTGAGGCACGATGTCAGGTATATTAATTTTGCAATTTTATACAATTTATTTATTATTATTGATTAATAAAATTTTCTTAATGTTTTTTTCTTCAGGGGGGTTCTAAGTTCCCAGAGATCAACACGTTCGAGGAAGTTTACGTTCGACCTGGAAATGAGATCTCTGAGCACCTTCATGTAAGTATATGTAATTGTTATTATTCTTATATGTATGAATTGTTCAAATATTGTTTATATTTTGTTATTAAACATTATATGGAAACGATAGGAGATAGGGTGAGGCCAAATCAGCCATAACCCAATCAGACAAATTTAAGTTACAATGTATCCTCAACAAGGATGTTGAGAATAAAAGTAAGGCTAGTAAGCCATTCACATTAATTGACTACCAACATTCAAACTAGACTTGGCTAAGCAGTGAGCAACATCATTGGCTTGACGTCCGTGGGTGCACCGGACTTCAGTGATTGCAGCAAGAGCACATTTCGACCCTACAATGTCTCTGTCCAACTGACGACAAGTTGATGGAAGGGTCAGATAAGGCTCCTGCAATCTGAAGTGAATTTCCTTGAATTTTAGATTTTTTTATTGGTGCCTTTTGAGGGTTTTGTGAGGGTGGGGGCAAAAATTCGATGTTATAGTTGGAACTTCTAAAGTTGGGATAATGGGTTTGGTTGATAAGTTTCTTTGGTGTGATAAATCTCGGTCCTGGTATTGAATTTTGTTATATTTATGTGTTTACTGTTGTCGGAGAATTAAACATAATTACTTTACTGGATATTGAACAAGAGTTGGTATGTAGTGTAGTTGATGCTAAATGAAGTTTCAATGGTTACATTCCTTGAAGTATTGGTCCTTATAATTCAGTTGCTGCTAGAGATTGGTTGACAATTACAACTATGCTAAATCAGTTGAATAGTGGGGTTCGCTCTGCAATACATGCTGAAGGTTCACGGTTATTTTTCATGTCACAAAACTCTTCTATATTTTCACTGCTATTTTGCATGTCACGAAATTCTTTTAGTGAGAAAGTCCATCTATGGCAGGTGGTTTGAAATAAAAAATGAACCTTGAATTCTAGCGATCAATTATTTTTAACAGGCACCATGTACTCACTTGGATCATTATTGCTTTCCTTTTGTGTAAATGACTCTGTGGATTTGAATTTTTCTGCATACGATGTTCTTGAGACGTGAGATTTTGATTTCTAAGCTTTATATTTTCCCTTGTTTATCTCATACGTGGTTGGTGGTTCAAATTCACAAGGGTTTACAATTCAAATATCAACTATTATGAAGTGTGCATTGGCTTGCTGGAGATGTTTGTCTTCTTGAAGAAATGAATGAAGATGTTTGTCCCCTATTGAATTTATTTTTACAGGCTCTTATGGTGGAAAAGCACGCTGCTGTTGTCCAAGAAGCAACATCACAGTTTCCCCCGAATACCCCGATCGAGGACGTCACGGTACCCGAGGATGTAGGTTTTCAGATCGTGACTGATGTGATGGAGCAAAACTTCGGTCGTCGTCATGGTAAGGTTGTTCAGTGCATGGGGAAAGCGCGAGTTCGTGAGATGGGTGCCTCTTCTTCCAACTCGAACATAGCAGAGGTTGATGCATTAAAGGAGCAAGTGACAACCCTACAGGGTCAGCTTGAGATCCAGGGCGAGCAGATGAAAGAGCAGATGAGGGTCCAGGCCGAGCAGATGAAGGAGTAGATGAGGGCCCAGGCCGAGCAAATGAAGGAGCATATGAGAGACCTTGTACGAGCCATACAGACGTTCGGCCTTCAAATCTCGCTACCAGTACCTGATCTTGCTACACCTTCGACTTTTGAGCCACGTCAACCTGTCGATACCTAGTAGCCTGATGTATAGAAGACTACTTGTAGTTTTTTCTTTTTTATTCGAACATCTTGTATGTACATTTTCATATATTTTATAATTAAATACTTTTATTTGCTTAATTAATTATTGTTTAGAATTTAATTACAATATTTATTAAAAATCTAAAAATTAGTATTTTTGGTTTTGGCCAAAAGTATTATTTTTTCAATTTTTAATAAGGCTTTGCGCGACGTAGGCTAGGTCGCACAAAGATGTGGTTTTGGCCAAAAATATTTTTTTATATTTTTTAATAAGGCTTTGCGCGACGTAGGCTACGTTGCGCAAATAGGCTTTGCGCGACGAACATGGGCATGCGTCGCGCAAAGCTTGTTTGCGCGACGCATGCCCATGTTCGTCGCACAAAGCCTTCTGTCACTGCCTTTGCGCGACGGTTTTCGCGCGACGAAGGTTTGTTGTGCTAAGTTTTGCTCGACGTTTTGGGACTTTGCGCGCGCGACGAAGGACTTGCGTAGCGCAAAGTGTTTTTGGTAGTAGTGTTATTTGTTTTCTATGGATGCATACTTAGTAAGCATATCTAGGATTCTAATGCTATGAATATGTGTGTGCCTACCCTTGTCGAATGATGACCTACATATGTTCTAGAGTAGTACTTGTTAATTGCGATTAACATGTGAACCAATTTCTAGGATAAGTAAGACAACGCTAGTACTTACGATGCCTTGTGATGACTCAAACTATTTTCGTTTTTAATGATTTCTTCTTGTTAAATCTATGAACACGCCATTCTAGATTGCATGCTAGGAACTAAGTTAAGTTGAAAACGCCATTCTCTTAACATACTACGTAAGAAAGAGTAATAGATTGAGTTCTAACATTGAGCCAACTTGAGCATCTTCATCCGGAAATAAAAGAAATTTGAATGAAACATAACATGTTTGCATGATTATTTGGTGGTGGATAGCAATACCCCTAACTCGTTTTTCTTAATTTGTGAACTACTTAATATCTGTTTCTGTCCTGTTTTTGTTCGATTTAATTTAAATAGAAAATCAACTCCAAAAATCCCAAATATTTGTGTGAGCGTAGCTCTTTGTGTCTAGTATCTGCATATAAAATTTCGTAGAATTTAGATAAGTGTAAGTTGGTCTAATAATTATTTTTCGGTGGCTGGTCAGTAGGGACAGCAACCAGTTTTTGTGACATTTTAAGTAGTTAGATAAAACAATCTTCTGCGGGAAAGACCCTTATTTTCATATGCTACAATTGAAAAATCTTATTGTTAATAAGGAAAATCAATAGGACATTTGTGTGCTACTTTATGATGTGCATTTAATCCTATCAATGCCTCACAATCTTATGTCTTAAATTGCTCTTTAGATCATCTATTTATACTAATAGATGACAAAATCCTAATAAGACAAAAACCTACAATACATAAGAAACCAAATTATACACACACACCCACACATGTAGGGATGGACAATGGTTATGGAGGACGGGTAACCGCGGTTATTTATCCATAACCGTTTATGTTCATACTCGCATAACCGTTTACTCTTTGGGTAATTGCATAAACGGTTATACCCATACCCATAACCGTTTATAAACGGTTAACCATACCCATAACCGTGTACCCATTTAACCATAACCATTTACCCGTTTACCCATTTAACCTTTTTTACCCATTGACCTCTTTTTTCACCCATCTACATGTTTTTTTTAACAACTTGAAAATTACAAAAGAAAAATTTGTCATAATTTTCATTTTTTGACAATTAAACACTGTTATAGGTACATTTTAGCATGCATTTCCCTATTGTAATCATTTAAGTCATTATACAATTCCAATAATTCAAATAATAATTTACGAATGATATTTTTCTGCTACACCCAAGCAAATCTTTAATTATAATCCATATGATTACAAAGTAAAGCTTCTAAAAACAAAACATAGTCATTATCTTGAATACTAAATTATTCAAAGTTGCAAAATAACGTCAATTAACCTTGTTAGTTGTAACTTTATGGTAAAGTTAAAGGAACTAAAAGCTTCTTTCTTAACTTGAACATAACCAATTCCAAAAGTACAGAATATCAATTGGTTCACAATCTTCCACATTTTCAAATATTCCACAAACACTTTTTGTCCATCGACATTTTCTCCAAATAATCAAAACCAACAAAAATTCATCTCAGGTTCTTTCAATTCCAACTTCATGGCAGCAAAAAATTGACGTTAATTCTAATTACTTTTCAATTACGGTTTTTAATTTTTAATTTTACATATATTAAATTAAATGGGATACCGAACCAAAACTCTTGTCCCGATTCCCAAATCGAAATTTTCAGGAATCCTAATTTTGAGACTGATCCCAAACCAAATTTTCAGAAATCCCAATTTTCGAGAATCCCGAAATAGTTTTGGGCTTTTGGACTAAAACTTGGCATATTGGGCTTTTGGGCTAAAATTTAACCTTTTGAATATAAGGCCTCAACCTTCCATGTTTTCCCATGAACCAAAAGTTCTCTGCAAGAATGGGAATCCATGTCTTGAGGACAAAAAGTGACTGACAATATAGAGTGGAAGACTAAAAATGGTCTGGAAACGAACTTGGAGGAAGAACAACTTCAAAAAAATTTGAGATTACTAAAACTGTTAAATGTCGCGAGGAAAATCTGTTCTCCACTTATTATAGCTTACTGCGTATACTACTGTGCAATTCAAAAAACAAAACCCCAAGAAAGGGCATTCGATTCACCCACACATAGATGGCATTATCAAATGTAAACCATATCTATCAGAAAACTCCAGTTATAATGCCTTACGATGATGCTTAGACCAAATATGCTGATATACTAACATATTAAGAAGAGAATAACTTTAAACGTAACATAGTTGACAATATAACAATTTCCTAACCAAAGGTTTTCTTTGGAGAACTTTTAAGAACCTCAATAGCATTAATACGAAATGTTAACCAATGCCCTCCCTAACAAAGAACTTATGACAAGTATCAAATCATGAATGCATTTAACAAAAGAAAAATTAAACGAAATAAAACGACACTTACCCGAGTAGACCCCTACCTTGCCATGTTCTAGGTGTCATGGTTAAGTTGACTTGAGCACCCTGCCTTACAAGTATTACAGGTATCTCCAAGCTGCAAACCATCCTCTGCTGCTGGTGATGCATCAGATATCTCATCCACCAACGCAAAGGGTACGCTCACAATCACATCCATGTGCATGGCCTTGGTAGAACCAGTATGAACATTGGTTGAGGATGCAGATGCAACCATGTTGATGGTGCTGCATTAGAAACATCCCAAAATCCCATGGTTAATTCTGAACTCCATTCATCAATTTACACAAACTCTCGAAATTCATTTCAGCAACTGCAATTATTGCTACAACTATGAACTATGAACTATGAACTATCAACCCGTAACAAATTTATGCTTCAATTGTGAGTCTGTGACATAAAAGAAACCCTAATCTCGAATTCCAACCACCCATTCAACCCCTAAACCCTCAGTATGCAGTATACTCTATATTCCAAGTGCTAAATTTCACAAACCCTAATCTCGAATTCCAACCCTAAATTAAAATTCAAACCCTAAATTAGCTTGTGAACTTTACCTAATTTGGGGGAGAATTGCACAGTGCATTGGATGACTGGAATCGAGAGAGATTGAGAAGGAGAGTGGCGTCGATGGTCGTGATTCGTGAAGGAAGGCTCATCCACTGTGACTCTGAGTGGGATGAGAAATCCAAAGAGGTGATAGCGAGAGAGATGTGACTCAGGTGAGTCACTTGTGTGGCTGGATTCGAAAACGGAGAGACAAATCGGGTGGTGAGGTGAGGGTTTAAGTCTGAGGCAAGTCTTGAGAGATAGTGAATGAACTAAGTGTCGAGAGAGACGAGAGAGACAGAGTGTAGGTGTAGGGTTTGATTTCTATTCAACGGTTGAGATTAAATCTCAACTGAATTCGACGGTTGTTACAATTTCAAATATAAATTTAAAAATTAAATAATATATATTTTTTTATTTCTGTTCGGTTTGGGAATACCCAAAAAACAAAAACTTGAAACCGATTCCTGTACCGAAAATTTCGATTTGGTTCGGTATTGGGTACTGAATGTTTTGGGATTTTTGGTTTGGTATTTTTTCGGTATGGTTTCAGGAATTTTTTGGTTTGATTTGGGAAATTCGGTATTTTTTTCCACCCCTAGTTATAATTGTGGGTAATACCCATAATCGATGGATACCCATTATAACCGCTGGTAATACCCATAACCGGCCATTTAAATTTCACGGATAAATGGTTATATCCATTAACGTTTATTCGTCTAAATGGTTACCCATAACCGTAATCATGAACTTTAAATGGGCGGGTAACCGCGGTTACCCAAATCCATGGGTATTTTGCCCATTCCTACATACATACATACATACTGCAAGAGAAAAACGTGGTACTGTTCATTCACCAGTGTTCTTCCAATTTTGCCCTTCAATTGTTCTTCAAGTCTTGCATTTTTGGTCTATTACATAGTAAAATGATGGTTTTGACCCTGGATGTCCAATAGGGGTGCGTTTGTTGCACCGAACTGTCTCGGACTGGACAGTTGCAGGGACTAAGCTGGACTGGCTTAGACTAGACTAAGTTGGACTAACTTAGTAAAACGTTTGGTGCAGTGTCAGACTAAGAAGCAGGATAATGAAAAAATATTGTTCACCAGATTTGTGTTTGCTTAGACTAGGACTACATTATTGTTCTATTTTAATAGCTCCAATACCTGTGCCCAACGCCCTAAAATTTTTGCCATTGTGTAATAGAGTAATGCTACAAATCTCATAATCTAGGTTAATTGGAGCATATTTTTTTCCATGTATATTATGAATCTTAAAAAAGAAAGGACAATTGTTTTGTTTTTAGTACCTGCTAATAGAATTGGGACATATTATAGGTGAGTTTAAGATGGCAAATTGGTGATCACATATTTATAAATTTTTAGAATTCTTCAGCTTATCATATAATGACCAACATTACATTTCAAGTGGATGAGACTCCCCACCCCTTAAGGCACATTCAGGCAGCAAAGTGAGTGTTTGGGAACT